TGGTCTTCCTTGCCCCCCAACTCACAGCGCTTGAGGAATGTTAGATCAGATTTCGACGTCCTTTGCCCATCTATGGCACCTTCTGTTTCTTTTCTTTATCTGACATTTCTACTTTAACTTGTATCTTGTTTGGTCTTTGGCTGTGATGCATGCGTGCTTGTAGTCCCCTCCTAATTGGACTCCACCTAATTGGGACATGATCCTCTACATTGGTAGTGGGGATTTCATGCCAAAATCTTGTAAAATGGACCAGAATTGTTGTGCCTAATTACAATCCTGCATAATATGATTTAAGGGATTCAATAAAGTTATGACAGAAGGATAACATTGTAAATTTACCAAAAGGTTTGGTAAAAAAAAAATTGCGGCAAGGGAAAATCCTTGATGCTTTAACCAAATGTCGATATTATTGATTGATCGATTTACCAAGAAAGCAACTAATGAAATAATTGGTCCAACAGTCAAAAGAACTTGTCGGATACTCCTTCCTATTCATTGAAAAGCAAAAGAAAACGTGTGCTCTCTGTTTGTGCAAATATTCTCACGGGAGAATATTCGCTTCTAGATCCTTCAACCTTCGATCTTCCTTCTCTCTCTTCCTCGATTCCTGTAAAACAAATTGGAGTAAATAGACCACACCCGGGGGGTGTTGGCCAAAGGCCCTCCGATGCCTAAGTTAGTTCGAGTGTTTGTAGAAAACAATAGCTAAACAAAGGGTACGGAGTAGTGTTTATGTAGGGTGTGAACCGGGCGGCTGGAGCCGTGTGTGGTGGCCGGAGCCGTGTGGAGAAAATATGGAGAGTGGAGAGGGAGAAAGAGCTTCGGATATTGTTCTCGGGTATAAGGAGTAGGTTTAGATGTACCTTGAATGATGAATGAAGTCATCTATTTATAGGAGCCTCGGGGCTAGGGTTTCATAGAGAATATGCTGAGTTTATTCTCTACCCAAATTCGTAGGGATCGAGTCGGACAGAGATAATATCTGATTTAATGATATTATCTCTATTTATGGAGATAATATATGAATTAAATGATATTATCTTTTTTTATGAAGATAATATCTGAGATAATGACATTATCTTCTCTTTATTAGGATAATATCTTAATTAATGATATTATCTTATTAAATAAAGATAATATCATTTAATTAAGATATTTATCCCAATTAATTAATTGGCCAGATAAACTGGTTCAATTAATTAATTAAAAGAGATAATCTTCTTTTCCGCGTGGCGCGCTGTGATTGGAGACAAAAATATCTGCTCCCACAAATGCCCCCCAGCTTCTGCGTAACGCTTGTGTGGCATGTAGGAGATGAAATTTTTTTTTCGGGCTCTCCAACTGAGTCTGGGCTTTCTTCTGTGAGTTGGACTCCTTTTGCAGATCGGATTCTCAATTGGTGTAGGCTTCTGACTGTTGTTGGAATTGGATTCCCAGTAGGAAAGAGCTTGAGATTCCTTCTTGACCCGGGTTGTCCAACTTGTATAAATACAGGGCTTCTCTTCACTCTTTCTTACATCGCAAACTTAACTTCTCTACTTTCTAGCTTGAGAAAGATCTTGGAGAATTTTGTACTGCTTGTCGAAGAGAGGAGTTGCCGTGCATCCCAAAGTAAGTCGAGCAAGTAAATTTTTCTTCATCTTCTCTTTTTCAAGGCGAGGACCAGTTGGTTGGGACCAGGCTAGTTGTCGTCGTGACTGGCGGCCAAAGACGATTGGAGCGACGGTGGCCGCTGGCAGCTGCTGAGCGACGATCAGGAGGAAGTTGGTGGACTGCCCCCTGCTAAAGACGTCGATAGATGGAAGCAGGATGGTCCGAGCCTTGATGATTTGCTTGCTGGACATGATGAGTGTTTTGCTAAACTCCCCTAAAAGAGGAAGGCTGATGTTAGTCTTCGAAAGCTCAAGCCTGATGAGTTTGGAGATCGTGATATGCTCCGTAAAGTAGTCCGTGCGCGATCTAACTCACTTGTTGAGAGGCAAAGAGATGCGGATGCTCCTTTTCGAAATTTGAGTCGTTTGTACTAGTCGAAGATTGGAAGTCGATCTGGGCAGTCTGCTCATCCATCCAACCATCATGTTTCAATTGTTGAGTCACGAGCAGTCAAGCATGGAGTGGATTCATCGTCGCCAATTCCTTTGGAAGTGAGGTTGACAGAGGCTAAGAAAGCAAGAAAGTCATTTGCCTGGGCGAAGGGCTCTTCTGCAACGTCAGCAGCTGATCCCAAGGTGGACAAGTCCACCCTTGCAGAGGATGTAGGCGTGTCTGATCTGCTCAAGACGAACTTTCTGTCAAGTCCATCCACTTGTGCTGAGCTGGTTCATCAAATCCGTCAGGCTGGCGATCTTGGTAGTTTCCCAAGTCTTTCCTTGGAAAAACAAAAGGAAGCAACATTTCTTCTCCTTCAAAAATGAGGTGGGGGCAGACGTGGAGGATCAGGCAAGTGGAGCTGCTGAGAGTGTGGCTGATCAAACGGACGCTGAAGTGGCTGCAGATCAGGGATCTCCTGCTGGCGTCTCGAAGTAGATGAAGACTTCTTTATTTCTTTTCAGCTTTTGTAGTATGCTTTCTCATTTAGAATAATTGGTCTTGCTTGACCGTCTTCTTTTTGTTGAACTTTGGCCGGTTGGTCACTTTACTAAGGAAATTTCAGTTATTTTTTCAACTTCAATTTGCATAGTGTCTTGTGAACTGCTTGAGTGTTTCTGGGTTGAGGCATGTTTTGCCTAAGTCTGGAGACGTGTTGATGAGGGTGGCCCGTTTGGCCTATGTCCAGAGACGTGTCAATGAGAGTGACCCGTTTGGCCTACGTCCAGAGACGTGTCGATGATAGTGACCCGTTTGGCCTACGTCCGAAGACGTGTTGATGTGTGTGACCTGTTTGGTCTACATCCGGAGGCGTGTCGATGATAGTGGCCCGTTTGGCCTACGTCCAGAGACGTGTCGATGTGTGTGACCCGTTTGGTCTACGTCCGGAGACATGTCGATGATAGTGGCCCGTTTGGCCTACGTCTGGGGACGTGTCGATGATAGTGGCCCGTTTGGCCTACGTCCGGAGACATGTCGATGATAGTGGCCCGTTTGGCCTACGTTCGGAGACGTGTCGATGTGTGACCCATTTGGCCTACGTCCGGAGACGTGTCGATGATAGTGGCCCGTTTGGCCTACGTCCAGGGACATGTCGATGTGTGTGACCCGTTTGGTCTACGTCTAGAGACATGTCGATGATAGTGGCCCGTTTGGCCTACGTCTGGGACGTGTCGATGATAGTGGCCCGTTTGGCCTACGTCCGGAGACGTGTCGATGTGTGACCCGTTTGGCCTACGTCCGGAGACGTGTCGATGATAGTAGCCGTTTGGCCTACGTCCGGAGAAGTGTCGATGATAGTGGCCCGTTGGGCCTACGTCCGGGGACGTGTCATGAGAGTGACCCGTTTGGCCTACGTCCAGAGACGTGTCGTTAAGAGTGGCCCGTTTGGCCTACGTCCGGAAACGTGTCGATTGCTTTTGTGAATACTTCATTGGAAAGAAAAGCTTGAACTTGTATTGATGTCTGTGTGACTACATTGCCTTATTGAACAAAAAAGATGAGTGCATGAGTAACATCAAAAGTAACTTGTCTTCAATGGAGGTGAGGAAGGCTTTGTCGCCTGCTTAGAGCCGAGATGATAGGTGAAGAGCTTCATGGATAGTACCCTTGGAGGTGATGGGTATTTCATTGTCTTAGAACTTCCTTCCATTGAAAGATGATGAAAGGTTCGTCTTCCACAACTTGGTAGCTAGTGACGGCTTAGGAGACGGAAGTCGCCTGCTTGATCCTTCTCTTTTGCCCCCTGGTGGTCAGTCTGGGCTTTTGGAGTCAACTAGGATCGTGTTGATCCATATGACCTTTTCGTGGAGGTTCATCGTTAGCTGCGTCACAATCCTTGATTTCCTGGATAGCCCTCCTTGCCATGAATTCCGTGCAATGGCCGTCTCTGACTAGATCTTCAAGGTGCCTTTTCCAGGCGAAGCAGTCGTTTGTGTAATGACCATGCCCTTCATGGAATGTGCAGTATCTACTGGTATCCTTCTTGGTTGGGTTTCTCTTTAAAGGCGATGGTTTCTTCAACCAAGGCATGTCTTTTACTTGGGCTAGGATCTGGTGTATCGGGATAGTGAACTTGGTGTAGCTCTCCGCTGCTGAAGCACCTTCCTAAGGTTGTGATCTGCGTTTGCCGTTCTCTTGGCTTGCCTGCTCAGCTACTTGATCAGCCTTCTTTGTGGCGATCCGGTCGTCGTCCCATAATACGTAGCGCTCTGCTATAGCGAAGACTTCTACCAGTGTTTGGCGAGGATAGATGGTCAGCTCGCGATACAACTCACATTCAATTGGCAACCCCCTCTTGAAGGCAGAGAACACAATTTGGTCATCACATCCTATAGTGTTTGCCCTCTCCGCCTTGAACCTCTTGATGTAGTCTCGCAGGGATTCATTGGACTTCTTGTGCAGGTTGAACAGATGGTCAGGATTCTTCTTGATTGACCGATAAGAAGTATATTCTTTAGTGAAGACATAAGCAAGCTCCTTGAAGCTGTTGATCGACCCAGATGGCAGGGTGTGGAACCAGTCCTGAGCTGCTCCTCGCAATGTCATTGCAAACGCCTTGCACATCAGTGCGTCGTCGGCCTTGTGGAGGATTATGACACTTTTGAAGTGTTTTAGGTGGCTCTCGGGATCAGAATCTCCCTTGAAATGCGTAAAAGAAGGCGTTGAGAATCGCTTCGGGGGAGCAGCCTGCTCGATTTCAGGGGTGAAAGGAGTAGAGATCGCCTGGTCCACTCCTTACGTAGTGCATCCTCGAGGTTCCCGCCAGTCTTCAAGTCTCAAAATCGGTCATTCACAAGCTTCTCAACGTCTTCCGCGCGCAGTGCTGGTCGATCACGTTGGCGACTTTTGCGATTCGGGCGACGCTGATTGACCTCCTCGTTGGTCTGCAAGGGTCGGTCCTCTCGTCCGCGCTACCTAGGAGGCGTGTTGGTGGACTGCGATTGCGAGGGATTTTCTGCAGCTTGACGGCGAGAGTTGGTTCTCTGAGAGCGGGCAATGGAGTGCCTCTCTTCACGATCCTCATTGCAAGGGTTAGCGGGTTGACCTCCCTTGGGGCCTAGCCTTTCGTGAATATTTCTCTGCGAGTGGGCAGCGGAGCGCCTTTCTTCACGATCCTCATTGCGGCGATTGTCAGTTTGATCTCCCTGGGAGCCTAGCCTTTGAAGTACATTCCCCTGCGGGCCCAGGCAAGCACGGACGTCAAGTCATGGGCCGAGCCTTTCTTGCACGTTGCTTTGTGTGTGGCTTGCAGATGCTTGCGACATGTCGGCAAGCTGATCACTCCTGCTGTCTGCTCGCTCCTGCTCGACCCACTTGGTGCGCGTTGAGCTGCCCACCGGTGCGTTCGTCTATTCTTCTCACTTCGCCTGGTTGTCCAAGGCCAAGATTTTGAGCCATGCTTATTTTATTAAGGAGCTGCCTCATAAGAGCGTTTTGGTCGTCCATTCTCTGAGCTAGCTGGTCAACTCTCAGGTTGAGATCTGCTTGACTTTGTGGATCGGGAGGAGAGAAGCGTGTGGAGCCCAATTGCACACGGGCTAGGGTTTCACTGGAGGTGTATGCGAGAGCGTGTGTCGAGCGTGGAGGCAATGGAGGGAATGCTTGAAGTTGCTCGAAGACCGGGCCTAAGTCGGTGGTGGTAACGAGCCCACCTTGATGGGAGGTTCCACCATGTTTGGCGGCGGTGCCACGGAGGTTGCTAGATTCGGTCGCGGGTCCGGTAGGTGGCACGGTGGCGAGAGGTGGTGGTGCCACCATGTTGATCGCGGGATCGTGGGTGGAGTGGCTTTGGGCCGTCACGGATTGAGCCACCGCGGCGGTTTTACTCCTAGTGCGCTTGCTTCCAACCATGGTTGTTTGGAAGGCTTCGGTGGATTGGAAAATATGAGGAACGGATTCCTTGAGCACGCGTTGAGTATAACTCGTGCTCTCAATGAAAGCACCAAATGTTTGTGCAAATATTCTCACGGGAGAATATTCGCTTCTAGATCCTTCAACCTTCGATCTTCCTTCTCTCTCTTCCTCGATTCCTGTAAAACAGATTGGAGTAAATAGACCACATCCGGGGGGTGTTGGCCAAAGGCCCTCCGATGCCTAAGTTAGTTCGAGTGTTCGTAGAAAACAATAGCTAAACAAAGGTACGAAGTAGTGTTTATGTAGGGTGTGAACCGGGCGGCCGGAGCCGTGTGGAGAAAATATGGAGAGTGGAGAGGGAGAAAGAGCTTCGGATATTGTTCTCGGGTATAAGGAGTAGGTTTAGATGTACCTTGAATGATGAATGAAGTCATCTATTTATAGGAGCCTCGGGGCTAGGGTTTCATAGAGAATATGCTGAGTTTATTCTCTACCCAAATTCGTAGGGATCGAGTCGGACTGAGATAATATCTGATTTAATGATATTATCTCTATTTATGAAGATAATATCTGAATTAAATGATATTATCTCTTTTTATGAAGATAATATCTGAGATAATGACATTATCTTCTCTTTATTAGGATAATGTGGGAGCAGATATTTTCGTCTCCAATCACAGCACGCCACGTGGAAAAGAAGATTATCTCTTTTAATTAATTAATTGAACCAGTTTATCTGGCCAATTAATTAATTGGGATAAATATCTTAATTAAATGATATTATCTTTATTTAATAAGATAATATCATTAATTAAGATATTATCCTAATAAAGAGAAGATAATGTCATTATCTCATATATTATCTTCATAAAAAGAGATAATATCATTTAATTCAGATATTATCTCCATAAAAAGAGATAATATCATTAAATCAGATATTATCTCAGTCCGACTCGATCCCTACGAATTTGGGTATAGAATAAACTCAGCATATTCTCTACGAAACCCTAGCCCCGAGGCTCCTATAAATAGATGACTTCATTCATCATTCAAGGTACATCTAAACCTACTCCTTATACCCGAGAAAAATACCCGAAGCTCTTTCTCCCTCTCCACTTTCCATATTTTCTCCACACGGCTTCGGCCGCCCGGTTCACACCTTACATAAACACTACTCCGTACCCTTTCCTTAGCTATTGTTTTTCTACAAACACTCGAACTAACTTAGGCATCGGAGGGCCTTTGGCCAACACCCCCCGGGTGTGGTCTATTTACTCCAATCTGTTTTACAGGAATCGAGGAAGAGAGAGAAGGAAGATCGAAGGTTGAAGGATCTAGAAGCGAATATTCTCTCGTGAGATTATTTGCACAAACAGATAATATCTTAATTGTTGATATTATCTTATTAAATAAAGATAATATCATTTAATTAAGATATTTATCTCAATTAATTAATTGGTCAGATAAACTGGTTCAATTAATTAATTAAAAGAGATAATTTTCTTTTTCGCGTGGCGCGCTGTGATTGGAGACGAAAATATCTGCTCCCACACTCTCACTACTGTAACTACACGATTTCCAATAACTTTACTCTCTCTCTCCTCTCTCTCTGCTCTCGCCACTACTTTCTTATCTCTCTCTCTCTCTCTCTCTCTCTCTCTCTCTCTCTCTCCTAGACCGTGTGCTCTCACTACAATATGTAACTACACGATTTAGGAAAGACATAGAAAAGGTCAAGCGCTGGAGAGCTGCTTTAACAGAAGTTTCTGAAACTATCAAATTGCGTATTTTTTTTATTTTTTGGGTTATTCGTAATTTTTAAGATTAATATGTGTTCTCACAAAAAAAAAAGATAATATGATAATTTCGTGAAGCTCAGGGACGTTTTGTGATAAATAAATAAATAAAAACTTTTTATTTTATTTTATTACCACTATATTCCGTTCATTTTAGTGATCCCAATTTTCCAAAGAGGGGGATAAAAATAAAGGTAAAGAAAGAAAAAACATTTCAGAGAGGGAACTTTCATGAAATTGTATGTTCCTTCCTTTGGGTGGAAAGTGTCGTCCTTTCTCTTCTTGTTTTCTCAAACTTTGTGTGTGGTGGCTGTGTTCAAGTCTTTCTTTGGTATTTTTCCGTGCTTCTTCATTTGATTGTCTTTTTGTATGCAGAAATTGGTTTTGAATTATTTTTACGACGATTCTTTGGTAAAGCTGGGTGACTCTGAAGAGAAATCATGTTCCCCTCAAATTAAATATCATATAATGCCCGGCCCCATCCCATTGCAGACGACGTGTGGCTGTAAAGAGAAAGGGACCGTGTTCACTACGCGGTTCTCTCTCTCTCTCTCTCTCTCTCCATTATTTTTCCTTCCCCTCTTTTTTTTTTTTTTTCCATCTGTTCTGTTCTTACATTTTTCTTAAGGAGTTTCACTAAAACATCCAAAATAGGGGCTGAAATTATAAAAAATCTAACACCTAAAACACTTTATAAACACACCCAAAACCCATCATTACACACACTCAAAATCCATTAATAAACACACCCAAAAAATATACAATTGTTGATTTTGGAGTTGATTTTAGGTGTGTTTTTATGTTTAAATAGTGTTTAGGTTTTTTTATAAATACATGTCTAGGGTTGAGTTTATTTATAAATTTGTATTTTTCTTATGGGTTTCCATCTGTTCACTACAGTAGGGATGTAGGAAAACTGAATATTCTCATTCACTTAATGTAATTATGATTACAATGCTTATATAATATACAAGTAAAGGTTATAGGAGTGACAGCTATACAAGATCTGTTACAACAGGTTTAACAAAAGATAGAGTTAGTTCTAACTAATCACATGAGCTTGACTCAAGTCTTTGGCTGAGATGAGTGACTAGGATTGTTTTCAGTAGTAGCTCTATCAAGGGAAATCATTTTGGAGCTAAGAAGACTGACATAGTACAAATGCTATAGATGCAGTAATAATTATTTACGTCTGGATGCATTTTATATAATGCATCGGTTGATAATCACCATTTATCAATCAATTGTTTTAAATCTTAATGTTGCAACAAGATGATCTGAGGAATGTTGTTTCTGAGGTTTGGTATTTTAGACCCAATTTAAGTTTGTTGCTAACCAATTTATCTTCACGGGCAGCTGAAAATACATGAGATTTTGAGTCTAAAAAACTTCTCCAACTCATGTATTTGGGGGGTGGAAATTTGAAAAATTAAATTCTGAAAATACATGAATAGTTGTATTTTGAATGATAAAAATTTAAGTTTAGCCTCAACATGGATGAAGATGGCCTAAGAAAACTGATATTGCTGCATATACCACAGATATGTTCCGCTCATTTTACTTAAAAGGGGTAAAGCTAAAGAAAGAGAAAACCCTTTCAGAGAGGGAACTTCCACGAAATTTCGTATGTTCCTTCCGTCCTTTCTCATTGGAGACGTTGTGCGGTTGAAAAGATCAAGTAATTGCCTTTTCCTTCCACACCACAGTTTTTCTCTATCGTTTGACCAAAAAATAAAAAATAAAAAATCTCACCACAGTTTACCAAGAAAAGCAACCATTCAAATAATTGGCCTGACAAGTATCAAAAACAAAAAAAAAAAAAAATGGTGCCCTCCTTCCTCCTCATGAAAAGCAAAAGAAATGACTCCTTGACCCAAAAAAGACTTGGACTCCCATTGGAGACGTTGGAGATAGCTGAAAAAAGAAACTGTGTGCTCGCCATGTACTCTACACGGTTTCCATCTTGTATCGTTTTCCAAATTTTCCAAAGAGGGTGATAAAAGTAAAGGTAAAGAAAGAAAACAAATTTCAGGGAGGGAACTTTCATGAAATTGTATGTCGTCCTTTCTCTTGTTGTATTCTCAAACTTTGTGTGTGGGTGCGTTTCCAAGTCTTTCTTTGGTATCTTTCCATGCTTCTTCATTTGCTTGTTTTTTTGTCCGCAGAAATTGGTTTTGAATTATTTTTAAGACGATTCTTTGGTAAAGCTGGGTGACGGTGAAGAGAAATCATGTTCTCCTTACTGCATATGCTATAGATGCAGTAATAATTATTTATAAAATAGTTAATTGACCGTCTGGATGCATTTTATATAATGCATCATCAGTTGATAATCACTATTTACCAATCTTTTGTTTTAAATCTTAATGTTGCAACAAGATGATCCAAGGAATGTTGTTTATGAGGTTTGGTATTTCAGACCCAATTTAAGTTTTTTACTAACCATTTTATCTTTACGGGCACCTTGTCCCCCATTACAGTTATGACGTCGTTTGTATGAGCATAACTTGCTTCTTCATCAAAATTGAGTAGAAATTGAATTAAATTCCCACCCAAAACTGAGGTTACTAGGACGGTTATAACATCCAAGCAAGATTTTTGTCACCAGTTGGATCAAGGAATCCTGCATTTAGAGAATAATTCGGTAGCAAAACTAGCACCAAAAGGCACATCACATGTCAATAAAACATATGCATATGCGGCAAATAAATTGTAAAACAGTCCACCTGCAGAGCATTCATTATTGAAAATGGTCTTATTATTTATTTTTACTTTCTATTTAGGGACAAACACTCAACAAAATGACTGAAACTGTTAGCGGATTATCAAATTAAATCAAGTATTTACCATCGTAAGACTACTTTTCCTTTTCCATGGTACAAACAAATATGTTTCAAGTTTCTAATGTGAAAATACCAAACCATCTAATCTTCCTAAATGTCGCACATGACGGAGCCGCCACGTGGCCAAGGACACGACTCATGTGTACTCCATGTTTTCTTCAAATTTGTTAAGGATGCGGTGGTGGGTGTGGCCGCGACAGCGCTTCTTCAGGTGATGGTGGTAAGGTTCGTTTAGGCTCATAAGTTGATTTAGGGTTTCGATTATGTTGATATGTGAGCTTTGTTTGGGCTTATGATTAATTGTGGTGATGTGGATTAGTAGTTTTAGTGCAGCTTTTATCTGTTTTAGTTTTCTTTT